TGAACCCACCCCAGGGATCACTTTTCATGCAAACAATAGCCAGGCCAGTAAAACGAACAGTAACGCCTGAAAAGACCATGTTCCTCAGAACAATCAACCATACCTGACCAAAGGGCAGCATTGGCCCAAGAACAAAGTTTAAAAGACAGGAAGGGGTAGGAAAGATGGGCAATGGAAATGGGGGACCCAGGGAGGAGAGGAGAAGAGTACTGGAAGTGGGATTGCAAGTAAAGTCGCAGAAAAAAAATAAGTATAAATTGTTGAATGGGAAACTAAATTACTATGTAAACTTCCACTCAAACACAGTAACATGTTCAAAAAAAAGAAAAATACCTATAGGAACTGTTTATTGACAATGTTAGAGAAGAGTGACTTCTTAAAAACATTAAAGATGATCTACATAAAAATTTATTATAGAAAACATGAAAAAAAAAAACATTTATAATACAACTCTTAGAGAGAAACACTGTTAACATTTTGGTATAGTTCATCCCAAACTCTTTCTAGGTACCCAAATCATTTGTCTCATAAAAATAAATTATATAGTATATTATTCTGTCACCTCCCTTTTACTTAAAAGTATATCTTAAATATTTTGTCATGTCAAAAAATATACTTCTACGACATTATTTTTAATGGCTGCATGGTATTGCACCATATGTATGTGTCAATATATATTTACTTATCTCATTAGCTTGTTTAAAGATGATTGCCATTATAAGCAATGCTATGATGACATAAACTAAAAAGAAAAAACTATATTATACGGGAGCTCTGGTAGCATAGTGGCTAAGGGCACTTGACTGCTAACCAGATGGTTAGCCTTCCATCCCACCAGCCACTCCTCGGAAGGAAGATGGGGCAATCTACTTCCATAGTGATACTGCCTCGGAAACCCAAGGAGGGGTCGCTGAGTCCGGTCCAACTCGACGGCACGTAACAACAACAACAACATAAATTACACAGTATGATGAACATACGCCAACTAAATTTCTGTGTATATTTTAGGTATTTCAAATGATAACTTTTCTAAATTGTAATTAAGAGGGAAAAAGTTTTACAGATTGTGGAGCTTACTGTGTATACTACCAAATAGCCCTCTAAAAGATTATTTAAGTTTATATTCCTACCACCAAATGGGTGAAAACAGAGAGGTGTTTCTTGTCATTGTTAGGTACCATTGAGTCTGTTCCAACCCTGTATACAACAGAACAAGGCACTACCTGGTCCTGTGCCATCCTCACAGTCATTGCTCTGTTTGAGCCCATTTTGCAGCCACTGCGCCAATCCATCTCACTGAGGCTCTTCCTCTGTTTCACTGATGCCGTGCTTCCCAAAGCATAGGAGACACAGGGAAACATCTTTCTGCTCTTCTCTGCTTGCAGACAACGTCCATCTGACATCAGCAATGATGTCCTTCCTTCTGAAGCCACCTTCAGTTTCTGGCAGTCCCTGTCTATGGACTGCTGCAACTGCTTTTTAATTATCTTCAGGAGCTCTGGTAGCATAGTGCCTAAGGCACCTGACTGCTAACCAGAAGGCTGGAGGTTCAAACCCACCAACCACTCCTCGGAAGGAAGGTTGGGCAATCTACTTCTGTAGTAATAATGCCTCGGAAACCCAAGGAGGGGTCACTGAGTCTGGTCCGACTTGATGGCACATAACAACAAGAACAGCAGCATAATTTTACTTGTATGTGATATTAATAATACTGTTCAATAATTTCCACATTCCACTGGATCACCCTTCTTTGGAACAAGCACATACATGGATCTCTTCCGGTCAGTTGGCCAAGTACTGTCTGCCAAATTGCTTGGCAGAGACAAATGAACACTTCCAGCATTGCGTCCGTTTGTTGAACCATCTCAATTGGCATTCTGTCAATTCCTGGAGATGTATTTTTTGTCAGTGCCTTCAGTGCAGTTTAGACTTCTTTCTTCAGTACTATTAGTTTTTGATCATATGCTACCTCCTGAAATGGGTGAACGTCAAACAATTCATTTTGGTACTGTGACTCTGTGTATTCTTTCCATCTTCTTTTGATGCTTCCTGCAGTATTCAATATTTTTCCCACAGGATCTTGCAATATTGCAATTCAAGGCTTAAATTCTTTCTTCAGTTATTTCAGCTTGAGAAATACCAGTTGTGTTCTTCCCTTATAGTTTTTTAACTCTAGGTCTTTGTACATTTCATTATATTTTACTTTGTCTTCTCAAGTGTCCTTTGAAATCTTCTGTTTAGCTGTTTTACTTCATCATTTATTCCTTTCTCTTTAGCTACTCTTCGTTCAAGTGCAAGTTTCAGAGTCTCTTCTGGCATCCATTTTAGTCTAATTTTTCTTTCTGTCTTTTTAATTTAGACATAAATACTTGAAAGTGTATATTATACAGAATAGTTTTAGAAGTATTGCTCTTTTCCCACCCTCATATGCCATTTTAGTTCATACTTCTCCACCCATGCATTCTTGACATCAGAATGGCGCTACCTTTTCAGGCAGCTGGCATGTTTCCCACCACCTGTCATCTGTAATTCAGTCTAAGCTGTTTGGGATGCAGGACTTTGTGAATGTGTGTATGATGCCATCACTGGAAATCTTTTTCCCAGCTATAAAAACCTACTTACTACTCATGATCTCCACTAACCACTTAGTATATTGCTTTTTTTAAAGGATCTTTAAAGTCCTTGTTTTTAGCAATATCAAGCACTTAGAATTTTTAGGTCATCCCTGCAAAAATAATTACCATATTAAAATCTTTGCTGGTTCCTTTTTCACTGGTTCTATCAAGTGAATGATTTCTAAAACCATTCAAAACTTGTAACAGTTTGCATTGTTTCAGACTAATGCATCTACCTGAACAGTACTTTGTCCAAAATAAAAGAATTAAGAAAATGTCCAGTACTATGGAAGACTTTATAAGGACTTTAGTGTAAAATGCCTCTTTTCCTAAGGGATAATGTTGAGGAAGGAAAATCTCACCTTAATTTGGTGATATATTATGGTTTAAACAAAAAGAGAAGATTGACACAAAATCTCCTTTGTACTCTTATGCAAAGTCACTACTGAATATGAAAGCTTTTGTCCACCAATAAGAAATGTCTAAAGAGTATGTAGAATTGCAATGTGTTTATCTTGTATAGAAACCCTGAAAATATAGGTTCATAAAGCTGGGTGTTTTGATAATACTCACATTGGAATCTTTCAAGAACTACAGCTTCTCTCCAGTTAAACCTCCTTCCAACCCCAAGCCACATCTACTTTTACTTTAATACAAAAAAAAAACACTGATCCAGAAGAAATATTTAGAATACATAATGTCTTGAGGATCCATAGCCAAGATGTTTAGAAGTCAAAATGAAAAATATAGATAATTGAGAGGTTAGATTTCCCTATAATGTTACTCCCTCTTTAAGATATGTTATATTGTTTCTGTTCTTTCATCTTAAGTATTTCCAAGAGAATCAGATTAAAAGAACATTGTACAACTTGGGTGGCAGTTATATGGTTGATATGGTTGAAGATAGCATATGGTATATTCTATATTTTGAAAATGTTTTGAGTCTTTGTTCCTGCCCACAGCAGTAGTATATATGAGAATTATCCAAAAACTTCCTGTGGTACCTGTATGTAATGCATATCATCTTAAAAAGCGACAAACATTTTGCCTTCTTTGTTGTTTGAAGTACATCAAACCATGAGAGATTCAGAAATGTAAAACTAAAATAAATTATGTTATAGAATTTTAATTCTATAAGATGTTACAGTTTCATAAGATTATAAATGCCATTTTAAAATGTTAATTAGAAGATGCATTTGTTTTAATTCTTGATACTGAAAATATTGACTGAATTGTGAATTAACACATTTAGGGTTGCAGATGTCATTTTTCATGAGATTTCCTGAATGATGTAATTTTCATATTTCATATAGCAGTTTGATCAATTTACAGATTTATTTTACATAATTAGTTGGTAAATGAGAAATTCAATTGCTGATATAGAACTATTTTTTTGTTATATAAAAAAGAAGTTAAAATTCTGAATTATAAATAAAAAGCCAAATATTTTGAAGACATCTGGTCCACATCTGTTTGAAATAAGATAATTTAAAACAGTGTAATTAAATGCAAGAAATACTGAGATATTCACACCTTACAATGTAAAAAAAAAAAAAACTTATTCCATTTTAATGTGATTTATTGAATTGGATAATTTAAAAAAATAATAATTTAGTTTCCTTTAGCCTCTATTCTGTCATTACAAAGAAGACTGACAAGCTAAACAAACAAAAAATAATTCCGTTTTTTCAAAAGCCTTTACTAAATAATCCTGTTTTTTCAAAGCCTTTACTAAATTATCATTATTATTATTCTTTCATATGTTGAATAACTTCTACTCATAAATTAATAGTCAGCAGACATTGACTCAGGTCTACCCCCTTTTGATGTGTTTATAATTCTCCATTCATTTATTTTAAGTGAGAGAGTATATAATCTCACTCCCTAAATTGTGAGTTGCTTGTGGGAATGAAGGGGCTCGATAAATGTGAGAAAATAGTGTTCAGGCCCATGGAAATGAAAAGCATTTTTGGAACATACTCATGATGAACCTTTTTTTCATCGTGAGAATGAACCTTTTTTTCTTCTTCTTTTTTAAAAGCCTGCATTGAGTAGAAAAATTAACCTTTTAGGAGAAAGGAAAATGTACTACATTTTCTGTAACGTAACCTTAAAATGTGAAAACAAGATAGATTTCTCCTTTAATAAAAGGCTGCAAAGCCTTAAAACTTCAGTAGTGGTGCGTTTTGATCATGAGGGAGAAGTTTGTAGACGAGAAACCACTTGGTGCTGGTGGGTTCTAGGGAGAAAGCTGTGCTGGGCTGCCAGAGGCTCCTCTAGCCAGCACTACACCACAGACAGAACTGATACTATGGGAAGCAAAAACGTTTTTCCTAATACATACCCTAAGGTAATACAAGTTGTATTTCGTGTGTTTATTTTTAGGGAACATGATAAAGATCCCGAGAGTTTTTTTAAGGTATTAATGCATCTAAAGGACCTAGGACTCAGTTTCCACGTCTCTGTCCTTGGAGAAACCTTCACAGATGTCCCAGGTATTCCTTTTGAATTTTCTAGTGTGTATTTTTATAGATGACATAAACTCTACAATTTAAGTATTAATTTCCATGTTTCCCTTTGTTAGAATAATCAAGATGAGCACTGTTAACCAAAAGATTATACGACAGCATTAAAGTCTGATTCAATTAAAAAAATACTTAAGTAAGCATTCTTTGATTTAAGTTGAGAATGTGAAGTCATCTTTTTTATCAAATATAGTTTATAGAATGCATCTTGATGTAAATAAAATATATTGCTTTAGGCATCTTAACACTTAAGGAAAGTGGAAATTTGTAATTGGATATATAACCTCTCACCTCTGGGGTCACTGGTTTGAATCCTGCTCACATTGGCAATGACTGAAATACATTACCATCTGTTAGGTGGCTCATGTAAAGCATGTTGGCATCTAACTTATAATATGGAGTGAACTACAGTGTATACCATAGTTGTCATGGTCCATACCTTTTTATTGTACTTGAGAAAAAAGACAAAAATTTGATGCTGGTAGCCACAGATCCTGTCATCCTTAATGGATGGATATCCTAATAGCTTACATAAGCACTTAAGGGTTTCTATTTCTTTTAAGCTTTCAGTATTCGGCATTTTAAAAAAAAAACTCTGAATACACAGACAACAAAAATTCAAAAATGGCGTTTGCCTTTGTTCATTATGAACTCCTAAGGACCACCTAAAGTGTACCTTTACTTAACAAGTATGTATTGAGAACTATACCCATTCCTTCCTTCAGTAGCCTCATTTGACATGGCTCCTCTTTAGTCCTTGCAATTTACCAATACCAACCTTTTTTTTCTGTTCCTCTAAGGTACCAGGCTTTTTTTCAGACCTGTGGATAATTTGCCTGTTTATTTCTGCTTTATCCTTTAGATCTCAGCTAAGAAGCATTTTCTTTCAATATGAAGCTTCATTGTACTAAGCTTTTTGTTCATGGTGTTTACCACAAATCCTAATTATATAATTATGCATGTGAATTTGTTTTATCTCTCCTTCCAAGCACCTACACTAGCATGTAGGTGCTTGGATGTCTGTCATGTTCATCACTATAAGCCCTGCACAATGCTTGAGCTCAGTGAATATTTGTTGAATAAATGGCTAAAATAATTTAAACTTCCAGCCTTTAAGGAACTTATGGTTTGGTTGAAAAGGGGACCCTTGTATATAAGCACAGGAAACAATGTAAAACACAAGTTAATATAATTATATGTTGGTATTTGTGATCGACTGCTAACCTAGAGGTTGTTGGTTCAAACCCACCCAAAAACACCACAGAAGGAAAGGCCTGACAATCTACTTCCATTAAAACAACAGCCAAGAAAATCCTGTGGGGAAGTTCTCCTCTGTAACACACAGAGTCAGAATTGGCTCTTTGGCACCCAAGAACTACATAAGACTTAGAATAGTGTGCTAATTGAAGAGCTAGTACTTGAATAGCCAAAGATATTTGAATAATCAGAAAAGAAGGATTGGGATTGTCCAACAGGGGGAAACACACAGGCAAATAGAAGCAAACATTTTAAATATTATGTAAATGAGGGAACAACTGCATTGACTGCTACTGTGAGGTCTCTAATATAAATGAAACAAGAGATTTTACATGCAGACCTTAATAAATAGGTAATGCATTTGGATAGGTAGGATAGGGCCAAAATATTGAGGATCTTGATAACTAAAATAGATGAGGTAATGGTAAAGAATAGGGATTCTAAATCTTAAACAAGGAAGATACATGACGAAACTTGTATCTTAGGTATATCTTCCAGTAGTATCTAGGCAGAATCATAGTGAAACTCTACACTGGAGATCCAAGTGTGATTTTTCTGAGGTGATGGCAGAAAGGTTAGTGGAAGTGAGTGAGATTCTCAAGGAAAACACAGAAAAAAAATTGGTAGATGGATGACTGTGGAGAAAGGAAAGAATTCAACTCTTGCAAAGCTAATGAGTTCAGTTTTGTTTGTGCCAGCTTTAAGGTACTTGCAGATGTACTGAGAAAAGTGGCTAGAGGAAATTCCAAAGCAGAAAGCTTCCTAGCCCCCTTTACCATTGTATAATTTTAGGCCACCATTACAGGAAAAGACTAGGTTTTCACTCAGAGGGCCACATTCTTTGGATCACAGCCCTCCCGTGCCACACTGAACTGATTAGAATTGCATGCAAGGTTGAAAGTAGGGTGTGGAAGTTAGAGCTGAAGTACCTTGTGCTCAGTAATTACAGCTCCTATCTTGTTGCTCACTTTGGCTCCAATTCAACACATACTTACTGAGCATTATGGGAAGGGGATTCTGTGGTGAACAGGATTCAGTTTGCCTTCAGGGAGCTCTGTCTCAGGGAGCCACTTATATACAATTAACAGATACATTAACACATTACTGTGAAATAATTATGGAATGATGTAGAAGCCCACAGGAAGGGGTATCAGATTGTCTATGTACACACTTCCATTGCTCCCCATCTTTGCTCCAAAGGTTTCCTAACAAGCCATTCTTTGTAACTTCAGCCATTATTACCAGCACTCTGGTTTATTCAACACTTAATATAGCACTTACTCTGTACCAAGCATTCTCCTAAGCCCTTTACAAATATTAACTCTAACTCTTTATAACAGTCTTGTGCAGACTTATTATTTCCATATCTTCCAGGTGGACAGACTGAGCATAGAGAAATTAAATAACTTACTCAAGGTCACACAGCTGGGTTGTACTTTTAACCATAGTGCTGTGCTGCTCTCCATGTTCTTCTTGCTTTCTGACACAACTGTTTCTCTAAGTTTGAACATTAATTTATCCCCAGGCCCTCAACTAGTACTCCTAATCTCTTATCTTGCTGTTCCTCAAAATGATTTATGTACTTGCAATACCAAAACAAACCAAACTCACTGCCATCAAGTTGGTCCCATCTCATAGCGACCCCTCCTTTGGTTTCTGAGGCAGTATCTCTATGGAAGTAGATTGCCCGGTCTTCCTTCCCAGGAGTGGCTGGTGGGTTTGAACCACCAACCTTCTGGTTAGCAGTCAAATGTCTTACGCACTACACCATCAGAGCTCCTGGTACTTGCAGTAACATATCTAAAACTCAAATTGTAAGACCAAATTATTCATTGTGTACTACCAGAGAGAATTATTCTCAATACTGTTAACATTTGTGAGAAAGTGGTTTCATGGAAATAATTGCAATTATTATATTATGCTATCAGTAACTACCATTTGTTGAGAGTTTGCTTGTTACCTGGACCTTTGCCAGATTAAAAACATGTAATGTTCATAATAATCCCAATGCAGTAGGTATTATCCCATATTACAGGTAGAGAAACTGGAGTTCCAAACATCTAAGTCACTTTAATTTCATAGCCTGTGAGTTATCTTTTCTGTTTTACATAAGATGTATTGAAAACCCAAGAAAGGTATACTATATGAGAACAGGGCCATTGCCCTTTCTCCAATTTCATTCCCTGCAGAGCTTTTGGGGGAAACTACCACATCACTGAGCAAACAATCTCCACTAAATCTCTTTTGAATATTTCAAAACTATAATGCAGAAACTGTATATTCTATTCTGTATACAGTCTCCGTATTGTTCATTATTTTCAGGTGAAACATATGTTAGAGATGATTGTAATATGTTTTTTGAAAAATGTGGTAGACTTGTGAGTTTCCATTACAGTTTATAGGCAAGACAGTTAATGACCTTTCCAAGGTCACACAGCTGGGTGCAGTGAGAGGTCTGGGCAGTAAATGGCGGTGAGGCTAGGAGTAGAACTTGAGAGTCAGCCTCCTCATCCCTACTCACTTATGTATTTGTTCAATACATATTTTTAAATATATACTTTGTTCCTAGCACTATGCTAGGCACTAAGGACAAAGTAATGAATAAAGCAGACATGTTCTGTGATCCTTGGGAATTTGTATTCCCACTACACTGCTTTTATTCATCACTTTAAAAGCATTACAGGTGACATTTCTTAAGCACTTAGCATGTGCCGGTAGTATTTTAAGTTCTTCATGCATTACCTTATTCAATCTTCTCAAAGTTATAAATTAGGCACTTTTTTAATCCCATTTTATAGGCACAGAAACAGAGCTCTGGTGGCATAGTGCCTAAGGCACTTGACTGCTAACCAGAGGGGTGGTGGTTCAAACCCATCAGCCACTCCTCAGAAGGAAGGTTGGGCAATCTACTTCCGTAGCGATACTGCCTGGGAAACCCAAGGAGGGGTCGCTATGAGTCAGATCCAACTCGATGGCAGTGAGGTTGGTTGGTTGGTAGAAAGATTAACTACTTGCCTGAAATAACCCAGCTAATCAATTGTGAAGCTATAATTAAAATCTAGTCAGTGTGTTTCTAGGATTGACCTGCTCAGCCCGTGTTCTACATGGAAGTCCACAAAATTATCCCTGATTTATAAGTAAGGAAGTAGGAAATGTTAATGATGAGAGGTTCTTGGCCATTCATGTGAAGTGGTTTCTCTTTTCTCTGCTTATCTCTTTGCAAATGGAAAGTTAAAAAAAAAACAAAAACTTGAATTATTTTTTTTTTTCATTTCCTAAATATTCCCACCCGAGATGTTAAAATGATCTCCCTCCTCTCTCTTCCATCTGTCTTCATCAGGAGAAAGATGTAAAAAGCAATATGAGATAGAAAGATATCCCAAATAGCATTCAGCCCATATTTAGTGCTCAAAAAATACTATTTGAAAGAATGAGAGAATGAGTTTCACAAAATAGCATAGTCAATTTACCTATCTTATCCGAACTTTAGGATTCTCTAGGTGGCACAAATGGTTAAGCACTCTACTACTAGCCAAAAGGCTGGGGGTTTGACCCTCCCAAAGGTTTCTTGGAAGACAAGCCAGGCGATCTTCCAAAAGGCCCCCACCATGAAAACCATGTGGAGCAGTTCTACTCTGCACACATGGGGTCCCTGTGAGTTCAAAATCGACTCAACAGCAGCTAACTACGTGAGGAACTCTACACTGAAACAC